AAAGCGACATGATGAAGTTAGCTGAAAGCGACATGATGGAATTAGCTGCATTCCTTTTACAAACAGAGAGTTGGGACATACGGGATGAAATCCTTAGCTATTTTTGTTGTTATGCCAAAGAAGTATAACTTCGTACGTGCGTAGTGCGTACATATGTAAGTACACACACGTTTTTTTTATCTTACGCTACAATTACCAAGCATAAACACAGCGACTCTACATCCATTTAAACAACAAAAAAAATTCTCTTTTTCCTGATAAAAGTTTAATAACATAAGCAAATTAACCGAACTCGTTCTATTATACTTTTACATTAATGACGATTAAATACATTACTCGTATACTTCTTAAAAAGTTATACTGATTTCAAAATAACTTAAAAATAATTATTTAACTCTTAGGCATGGAATTGTTTTAAAAATATGTAATCCCATAAAAGAATGTGTACTCTTCACTACATAGTATAAAACAAAGTCGCTTCCCGCTGTTTGTCTGTCCCTATATAGCATAGATCTTTAAAACTACGCAGCGGATTTTGATGCGGTTTTTTTATAGATAGAGTGATTCAAGAGGAAGGTTTTATTATATAATTTGTTAAGTTTCTGCTTACATTGGCTAAAATATAACGATATTTGTTGGAGGTGTCGGAAAAAAATAAGCCGTCTGGGAGCTTTTAACGAAAACATTGCCTAAACCCTTTGAGATATAACAAAATAATGTATGGTGGAATTGTGTATCTTATATAGGTCTACAGAAAAGTCCGCGATGGCATAATATGTCAGTCTTTCCGTTAAAATATATGAGCGATCGCCTACTCTATCAATTTTTATACTGTGATAAAGCTAAAAAAAGTTTATCATATTACTTGTCATAAATGCACTTGATTGTTCCAACATAAATACAATATTGAATTTGATTATAAACCGATAAAATAGGGAAAGTTCATCTTCATATCGCAATTATATAGAAGCACTGGCACGCCTAATATGGTAGGACTACTTTCATTTTTATGACTTTTCTCAGTTGTGTGGGCGGTTGTTAACATGCGAACAAAAGCTTTTGATAAGAGAAAACATAAATGATAAGTGATATATGTATGTATAATGTACATGTTAATACATACTAATGTACATAAGTAGGAGTACTTACATGTTTATAAATGGTATATTTGCCAATGACAATGGTAAAATATATTTGTCAGATAATTTTTTTTTAATATGCAAATTTATTTAATGCTTAAGCCTTAACATATTTTTATAATTACAGATTAGTCGGTGACTTATCTAGTCTGCTAACATTGACTGTCATAAAATTATGGAGTCGGTGGCAAACTGTTTTATTGTTGGAACAAAAATCTTTCTGAACTAGCTTTACAAAGTTACCTACAGCATTGTTGCATTGCAGCATTGTTATACCATAACAAATAGTACAACTACATTTGGGTTCACCCTATTTAAAAGACATTTATTTATTATTCATATGTACATATATGTATAGGTATAGAGAAGTAGGCAAGTACTTTAAAAATTAAAAAATATATATCTCTTACTTGACAAATGATTGATTCCTTATACAAACTTTCACTCCCTTTTCACCCTTTTAAGTGACGATTTCCGGGTTAAAAACTATCCTATGTCCTTCCCAGGGTCTCAAACTATCTCCATACCAAATTTAATCTATATCGGTTCAATGGATTAAGCGTAAAAAGGTAACAGACAGACAGTGATTTTCGCATTTATAATATTAGTATGTATCTTCTCGTCATACTTTTAATATAATTGAGTAACAGATCTAATTAAATATGTAACTGTAACTAATTAAAACAGTTTTTGAAATATATTATAATCATTACATATAAGCACAACATAAACACTTGTTTGTTTGTTATTGACTTAATATAACATATTATTTTATGTAATATTTGTTTACAAACTTTGTTATGCTAGTCGTTTATTGCTGAGTGTGAAAACAAAATATGCCTTAGCAATCAAATAGCGATTTGAGAATCATAATAGCATCAATGCACTCAAGTACAAAGGTCGATTGGATTTTGCTTAAAACTTATGACGTGTTTACATATTGTGTCAGTAAATCAGTGCAATGTGTATGGAAAAAGTCAAGGATATTTAAAAGAAAGTGTTTAAAATTATATTTTAATTAAGGTTAGTACTTAACGATTATGTGTAAATTAATATTCTATAACTTGTAAAGATCTATGTTGACCTGGTTATTAAAGATCTATGTTGACCTGGATAACCAGCTATAACCATACCAAATTTCATCAAAATTCCTACAGTAGTTTTTTGTGACGCGGTCACAGGCAGACAGACAAAAATTCTAAAAATTATAGATCCGGCTTCTGCATCGATAATAATGTCTATTTCGATAAGATTTTCCAAAAAATATTTAATGTACAGATTCGACTCAGAATTTTATTACATGGATAGAATTATAGATTATTATGATACACAGGATCATTCATCATTCAGGATTTGTAAGCAGTTATCTCTTATACAACAAATGTTGATGAAAATAATAAAAAGCTTATTGAAAAGCAATCTAAATGCTAGGCAATAAAATGAAATTGATACACATGTCTTGATATCATTTCTTTGTTTAATCTCTCATATCGATTTAACATATGACGTTGGTAGATTAAGAAAATTCTTTTGAATATTCGACCACGTATGAATGGATTTATTAGAACAGTAAAGTATGCAAAATCGTGATGTTTAATTGTGATTTTTGTTTGTCTCTATTTGCTATCAAGTTTTGATGCCATGTAAGATTATTAAGTTTTTTTTAAATGTAGGGTATCTTTATTTACTATAAAGAAAATTACAAATATACTTAATATATACATATAATAAAATTCTAACTGAGCCGAATCTGTACATTAAATATTTTTTGGAAAATCTTATTCTAATAGACCTTATTATAGATACAGAAACCGAATCTATAGTTTTTTGAATTTTTGTCTGTCTGTCTGTTACCGCATCACGGAACAACCACTGGGGGGATTTTGATGAAATTTGGTGTGATGGTAGCTGGTTATCCGGGTCAACATATAGAATACTTTTTACCGCGGGAAAATATCTCATTTCTGAGAAAAAATGACAATAACTGCAATGTAAGAGTATACTAATATGTATAACTTAAGAATTTGGTTTTTGGTCATCTGAGCGCGGGCGGAGCCGCGGGCAATTCTAGTTATATATACAAAACAAATGTATACTTATTAATTTTTATTACTGTACAAGTCATGTCCGCGTAGAATAGTGGCAAAAATGTTAGCGGAATGGCCCCGCAGAAAAGAAATTATTTAAAACAGAACAGAACGCTTTAACTCGTTGTTTAGGGAAATGATAGAGCATAGAGCTCTTCATCCCATTTCCTGCCATTAAACAATGACTTTCAAATTTCATTTAACTTATGTTATTACTTAAATACATTGAAACGTGTGGTTGTTTTTAAATGTTTTTTTTATTAGGGTTGCGTACCTAAAGGGTACCAACGGGACAATATTACTAAGCCTCCGCTGCCCGTCTGTCTGTAAGTTTCACACAGAGTGTGTAATGTGTCCAAAAGTATTTAAAAAGTACGTAGTTTTATATCTTGTACGATGGAACCGGTTGACCGGTTTTTTAAGTATCGTGTTCAAAATTTACTGTACATACTGTTTCTATTAAGTTTTGTATGTTTTTTTTACTAAATTACTATTTTATACGCAATACTCATGGATTTAAAAATCATAGCAAAGTTCAAGATTAAAGTAATATTTTTTTATTTATTAAATGTTAAATTTAGCATTTTTATAACATAAAAATAGCAAATTTTTCCCAACAGTTCATTTTCCAATTTGTTTAATTTTAATAAAAGAATTTTTAATATACCTAATTTCGTTGTACTCACAATCAACCAATGCTAATTATTATTGAATAATATAAGGGATTATTAAGGGATGAGTCAGTGGTAACCCAGTAGCAACGTGCTCACTTTTATCTTTTACATTAATTAACATTTTAATTCTTTTGTTTGAAGCTTAAATTACAAGCGTGCTTTGTTAAAAATCGTAATATAAGAAGTATACACCACATAAATCTCGGTAGTCGATTCGTAAATTAAATGCTTATTCCGCTTTCGATAACAGTTTCCTGATACCGTTGACCTCCTTATCGAATTCGTTACGGACTTTGTTCTTTCAAGACATCAATCGCAGATCGCTTATTAAGTTCTTTAATAATAATATTGCCATTCGTTCATAGGTAGGTTCTTTAATTATAACATATTCAACTAGTTATAAAGTAGATAGGAAAGCTATAAAACACTTAAATTATATCTAGTAATAATTAAAATTAGTGGGATTTAATTGAAGATGAGATATTAAATATGTTAACATATTAACAAACAACACCATCTAGTTCCATGGTAAGCTACGAGGCTTGTGTTATGGATACCTGATAGTTGTTACACTAGACATAGGTATATAACATTAAATTCATACAAGTTACAAATATAAACACCCATGATTGGAGTACAAACATTCGTGCGCAATGGTCATAACACAAATGAATGCCCTCAGCGGGACTCGAACCCGGTACTGCTGGCAAAGCGAGTAGTGTCACTACAAACTGAGCCAAACGTGCCGTCAATTTGACTGATGACTTTGGATATATTATATTATTGTTTATTTTAATTTTTAATGATAACGTGAATCCTTCGATCTTGACATTTCGATTGTTGTAAAGTATCTTTCAGGTTTAAATGTCATTGGATATTTTTACTGACATTAAACAATTCTCTCAACAATGTTAATTTACTTATCTAGTTATAAAAATAGAATTTAATCAAAACGGTATGATTGGTTATTGACAACCAGAACAATGGAAGTTAAAATATTACGCTCTTATCAATAATGCATTACAAATTCATCATAATATTAAACAACTCAAGACATTTAACTTTTTAATCTTAATTAATAATAATGTTTCTCTTTCCAGATGGACAGTAGTTCAGAAGCTATGGAGCTGAGACGGGAGCTGGACGCAGTGAGGAGCGCTCTGCAACAACAATCTGAATCTGTCCTAAAGCAACGTCATCAGCTCGTAGAAGCTAGTCAGGCGCTCGCCGCGCGTGACAAAGATGCTGCACAGGAGCGACGTCTTAGACAAGATCAGCTCGCGATTGTTCTTCGCTCTCTAGTCCTTCTAGAATCCCGTTTGAGCAGAGAACAAAAACAAATAAAAGTCTCTCTAATTCAAAAAGATAAAATCATCAAGTCGCAACAGGAGGAAATCGTCAAACTAAAAGCCCGGAAGTCGTATTGTAGCAACTGCCAACAACTTCTCGGATTCACAAGTGAACAAACCAATATAGAGACTGACCCAGAATTTCAGAGTTTAGAAAGTACAGATTCTAGATTTCAAAATAGTTTTGTTAGAAGCTGCAGCTATCGTGAACGGAAGTCGCCACCGGCTTTCCAAAAAAATACAAGGTTAAGCAAAAGTTTCCAACTGCCTAAGAATGATATTGTTTATGCAAACTCAAGTTCAAGCGAAGAAGGCAATACAATCAGCATTGGTAATAAGGGGACGTTTATAAAAAATAAACAAGCCTTCAGCCGACGAGATGTTTTCAGAAGATCTAGAAAGTATTCTGGAAGAAAGAATAATGTTAAGAATAATGAGCATTTGCAAAAGAATTATAATAATCACATCAATAGCAGTAGTACTGAAGAATGTATCAGCATGAACTATCAAGTTAACAATGACGACACTGATATAACAGCAAGTCAAATTGCAAACGACATAAGGAGGGCATCTTTAAAAATTGATCAACTAATTGGTGAAGCGGCTAAAAAAGAAACTGAAAATACTCAAAGTGACTCCGATAAAACATATTCAACGAAAATGGAAAGACTCCATGGAATAAAACGGCAGGCGTCCGATGAAATTAAAGTTAATAGGCAAATATTCCTAAATAAAGTTTTAAGTGATGAAGGAGAGGAAAAGCCTTGGTACTGTAATGTGAGCGATCCCGAGCAAGATATGGATAGTTTAGACCAAAGAGTTTCTCCTAACGTCACCAAGTCAAACTCCACCGATAATCTTTTAATGGATGGCTTGAATAATGGTATCCTTAATGCTGAAATTATATCTGCTACGAATGAAGTACTTTGCAATAGTATGTTGAAAAACAATATTAGCGATAATTTTAATAGTAGTTATGAAGAAAAATCTGATATCTTAGATTCAAATAAAAATAATCCTGCAGAAGTCAATGAAAACTGGTACGCCAGTACTAGCGATGCCGATGATACTCCACCTAATGAAATATATAAAAATAACCCTGTCTTGGAATGTGTAAATCAAATATTGCTACAAAATTCTTTAGATGACAGCAGTAATGATAATTCTAAATCAAGTGAAGCACCGAGTCCAAGTCCTAAAGCAGCAACAAAACGAGTTCAATTCTCCACACTGAATAGCATCTCATATGATGACAAAATAAGAGCAGGCCCAGGTTCCAACCATACTCTACCAAGAACAGATAAACGAGCTAACAAAATCGTTAAATTCAGTCTTGAAACGGCTTCTGAACATAGTTATGAAGTACCAAATACAGCGCAAGGTTTCCAATATGAGATTCAAAGCATTTACAGTAACGAATACGAACCGATCATTACAAAAAATACTGAGCTAAAACCTGCACCCCTTCCACGACCGGCACCTATCGTAGATAAATCAAACACTGTTCCAAAAATCAAAGGTTCTATAGTCAAAAATATTGCCGCGAACATAGAAAGTCGAAATCTCATGAACATGGACACTAAAGATAACTTAGGTTCAATGAAATTTTTTAACAAGAGAAAGGTGCCACGAACTCCTCCCGCACTGCCGCCTAAACCAAAGAACTTATCAGCTAAATGGAAAGCTGAGAACTCTGTCAAACCAGCGATAGAGCCTTTAGACTCTGACGCCGTTGCGGCTAATCAACGGGTTGCAGATGTTAAGACGAGAAACGTGGGACAAACAGCCACCATTAAAAACGTGGAACCGGACTACTGCTCCATTTCAGAGATAAATGTTCCAGTAGTCAGTAATGGCAAGAGAGAATTGCTACTCACGCAGCCGACAGTCGAAATTCACAATGAACAGTATCCAGTCCACACGAATCAAAGAGATAGCGTGGCTAAAGTCGTATCCTTAACCAGAATACAGAATAAAATAAGCGACAAGGACATACCAAAACTTCCACATGTCACTGAAATTATTATTCCCGATGAAGATGATAAACCTAACGACGATCATCGATCTTTTAATCAAGCTAAAAGCTATTTAGCAAATTTTAATATTCACGCTCTTCAAGCAAAATTGGATCCGCGTGCTTCTATTCAAATGGGTAACACGGTGTCTTCCATACTCTCAGAGATAAACAAAGGTTCCAAGACAGGTGGAAAGCAGATAAATTTAACAGATTTAGATAATCAATTTAATCATGCGCCAAAAAGCAATGTAGAACCAAGAAAAACAGAATATTTTGATGACATAGACAAGTTCGATTTGTCCCAAGATTTCGAAGAGTTTAAAATAGATGATGAACTCGGTAGTATTGTCGCAGAGGAATATCGAATAAGCTCTGGAAGTAGCGACGGTTCTATCTCCGACGTAGTGACTGAAAACAATCCTGTACCTGAAACTGACAAACAAAAAGAAAATGAAGAAAAAAATGACGCATTTCGCCAGAGCAATGAGAATTTGAACAAGACTTGCAAAAATGCAAAGCTCTCCAACAAACCCGATCTCCTATCGAATATAGAAAATGTTGAGACTGAATCTGTTAGAAATTCTGATATTGAATCAAGCAACTCTTCAGGCAGCAACAGCGGGTCGTATAACACGGTTAAATGCGAACCACGAATGATTTTAAATAACTCTGAAGCTAATTTCAATAAAACTAAAGGTAGCTTCGACTTCTTTTTAGAAACTTCCGGGCTTAGCTCAAAATCTATATTCTCTCCTTCTAAAAACTATTTAGGTTTAAGGCCTCCTAGTGCCAATCATAAGAACGTTTTAAAACCTAAAGATATAAAGATGCGAGTCAAAAATCCTTTAACAACGAACAAAATCAACGAAAAGCCTATGACGACTGCTATCAAATATTTTGAGCCTTATGTGTAACATATTGTAATGAACTGTTATTATTAACGTTTTTATTTTATTTTATTTATTGTAAAAAATGAACTTGCCTGCATAATATTACTTTATTTATGTTAATGTGTATTGTACATACTTTAATTATACCTAGTTATTTTACAAATATATAATATGAAATAATATATAATTGTTTTTTTTTCTCGGCTCTTAAAGTAAAGATATAAGTTAGAAATATAAATTTAAGGAATATATATAGATTAAAATAAAGGACTACAGGTACCATTTAAAAGAGAGTTTGCTATGAAATTTCTCTATTTATTAATTTATATAATAAAATAACAAAATAATATCTTAAAACTTAAATATTAAACTAAAGTAACAACTTAAAATTAAATCAACACTGGTACCGTCTTATACTTCAATTATTTCTAAAAAAAAATAAGTCCTTAGAAGACTTATTACTACTATCTTTTCGTTTTAAAAAAACTTTTTTAAATTATTGTTGTTACTGGGATTCCTTCTTGAACCTTTTTGCGATATATTGAACAGAGTTATTTTTTAAATTCTTCATGATTCTTTTCAATTTCCACTTCTTAGTAACAGAAGAGGATGTATTTATTGAATTTTCTGAATTTATTTTTGCATCATCCTCGTATGGTGTTAAATTATCTATATCATATATTAATGATTGATCATAAGCACATACATTTAGATATTCTTCAGAAAATATTCTAGACACTGATATATTGGAAAATGAGTCGCATCTTCGTTTTCTATTTCCATTCACAATTTTTTTTTCACGTTTTAACGTCATTAAAAACTCTTCAGAGGAAAAAGTGGTAGTAGGTACGTCTACTACTGCTGGAACACAAGTCAGTGTATTCTCATCGTCCAAATCTATTGGCGTTCCCCATTTACGATCCAAAGAACGGAAAGCAGCAGATAAATGCAAGTGAAGTTCCATCGTTGTTGGTACAGTAACAATGTTGCTTGTCAAATCAAAATGTTATAATGATGTAGATTTTGGAACTACTGCATATTTAAATCAAAATATTGGCCCCACTTTTAATTAAGAAAGGGTTATATCATTAAATAATTATAATCGAGACACAATTATTTTAATTACCTTTGAATGTAATTAAATAAAAACAATTATAATTGTACTTACGTAATGATGATGCAGTAGTAATTGATAGTAATTAATAAAATTGACCAGTAATTTTGTTATTAATTATTATTATTTAACCACAAAAAACATGTTCATTGATTAGGAAACTGCTATTTCATTAAGTTAAAAATCCAATTTAAACTATTATTCTTGATAAGAAGAGCAAAAATTAACAAGTCTTTATAACTTAGCGCTATAATTCATGCTGTGTTGGAAGAAAGAATAGAATCACTGCTGAACGGATTTTCTTGGTTTATAGCAAAGAAAACTCGATCGAGTCAGCTTTCAAATAAAAAAGCTAAATTAAAATCGGTTCATCCGTGTAGCGTATACCAATAAATATGTATTGGTTTCTATGTGGCTTTTGTCGCTTTTGATGGGATCTTATTGGAGTTTTTAAATAGGGTAGGCGCCACGGTGCCACAGACAAACACACAGATACTCAAGTTACTTTTAATACCCCTTTTTTGCGTCGGGGGTTAATAATAAAGGATATTTTTCTAACAATAATATCCATCATATAGGACACTAGCATTGCCCGCGGCTCCACCAGCGTTCAGATGACCAAAAATCAAATTCTTAGGTTTTACATATTAGTATACTCTTACAATGCAGTTTTTGTGTTTTTGTATTTTTTCTCAGAAATGAGATATTTTCCCGCGGTAAAAAGTAGCCTATATGTTGACCCGGATAACCAGCTATCATCATACCAAATTTCATCAAAATCTGTCCAGTGGTTTTCTCGTGATGCGGTAACAGACAGACAAAAATTCTAAAAACTATACATTCGGACTCTGTGTCGATAATAATGTCTATTTCAATTAGATTTCCCTAAAAATTTTTAATGTACAGATTCGACTTAGTTACAATTTTTTATAATATGTATAGATATATGAGTAATAATAATAAATAATGAGTTAATCTTTAATAATAATAAAACATGTTAGCTCCTATCGTTATTTTATAGCACTGACTTATGACAAGAATACTTGTGATAGATCCCGCGCAGGCGCACCAACGTATTATTTCATGAGATGGTTTACAAAATGCAAACCATTCTCAAGTTTTTTTCGGAACCATTTCGACTTTTTTCCAGATATCACCTAACCTAGATTTTGTATTTCTTCTTTAAAGATAGATCTACACCAATACTAATACACACTAATTTTCATAATCGGAGATTAAGAGATGCCCGATAACAGTATGATAGCCATAATAACCTGGCCCCACAACTTAACTCAGTAACATGGCCCGCCCGGGACTCGAATCCAAGACCTCCGAATCTGCGGCCGTACACCGGCCGGTACTACCATCGTGCAAGCCACTAGACAACTAAGGCAGTTAATTTATATCAATAAATAAACAAAAGAAGTTAATACTTAATATAACAAACGTCCTTCCAATTACTATAGTAAGCCTGAAAAGGATAAAAGTTAAAAGTAAACAAATATCTCGTTTAATAAACAATTTATGAAAACTTGTCATGTTCTCTTAATTTTTCCAATCATTTTACAAATCCAAAAAAAAAATTTACTTCTTTTTCCTTTTTCCGGGACCTTTATTTGAGTCTTTTTTTAAATCATTTTTCTGAACCTAAAATTAAAAAAAAAAATATTATATATATTAGCAATTTAATATTTAAGAGACAATTAATTAACTATTGTTTTTTTTTATTGTCATAATAAATAATTGATCAATAGCAAACATTGAATTTACTAATTATGTTAAATATAAATATGTTTTGACATTAACACACAGAATTATCTAGTTCCATGGTAAGCTACGAGGCCTGTGTTGTGGACACCAGATAGTTGATACACTACACAATTATATAACTTTTAATACATACATACATATTATAAATATGTTGATGATTTAATTTTTATAGTTTACCTTTCCATAATTGCTTAATAAATGTCCCACATCATTTTTCTTTTGCTTCTTCTTCTTAATACCAGTACTTAGATTACTTTTAGCTATCATGGATTTTTTTTCCTCGGTTTGCTTTAATTTTTCTTGTTTCCTCTTTTGCATTAACTCTTTATAATTTATGTATTCTCTTTTAGGAGGTTTTGCACCTGAAATATATATACAAGAAAAAAATATAAAATTCATAATAACGAGTTATTTAAAAATCCATACTAATATTATGAATGTGAAAGTGTGTTTGTTTGTCTTTCTTTCACATCGAAACGGCTTGACGGATTGGCGCGATTTTTTGTGTTGGAGGGCTGGAAAGTGACATAAGCTACTTTTTACTGCGGGAGATTGGGAAAACAAGTTATAATATAATCCAAAAAAATATTTATGAGCAGAATTACTTGAAACTTGGTATTAATACTCTTCAAAACAATGAATTAAATAAATGTTTTAGCATTTTTAGAAATTCATCACATAAGGGGGTAAAATAGCGGATGAAAGTTGGTATGAAACCACCTTTTTAGTGTTTGTTTATAGTTATAGCGCGAGCGAAGCCGCGGGTTCTGCTAGTAATTTATTTAGCAAAAACTGTAATACACACTTCAATTATTAATGAAATATGTAAGCAGAAAACAAATGTGAGTTATACGGTTTTAATCATTTCTACCAATATTTCAGTAACAATAAAATTAACATAAAAAAATAAGTAAAGTATGTAATATTCTAACCTAAACTCACTGCAAGAGCTATTTTTGCTTCTTCCTTTTTATTAGGATCAAAACCAGACATTCCAAATTTGACGATTTCATGTCTTATTTTCTTTATATCCAAATCCTTATTTGCATTTTCTATTGGTTTAGTTACCTGATTATTTTCACCTTGTTTCTTTTTAGGTTTGTGTGCTTCGAATTTAACAACTTGGAAATTGTTTTCAGCATTCTTTAAAGCTAGTGCTGCTTTTGTTAAAACTAAGGACATATTTATATTTTTAGTAATTTATATAATTGAACTTTGAATTACTTTAATTTGAAAAAATTTCACATGTATGTAGGTATTCTGTGAATTTAATTTAAATTGGCATTTGGTGATTTGGTTAACTTTTTGACATAACAATTGACATCTGACAGCGTACTGTGGCTACAGTGTGGCAACTGGCAATGTAAGTTACAAATTGTGACGTTTATTAGTTAATATGATGTTTTTTTCTGTGATTGTGAAATGGGTAATTTGTAAGTGTAGTGAATTGTGCTCAATGACACACGCTACAAGCGCTAACCAGAAAAAATAGAATGCCTACATATAAGTAGTTTTTCGAAAATATTTTCTTTACAGTACTTTCTAGGTTCCGCTTAGCATAGTTATTATGGTGTACCGTGTAAATAAACGATGAGATTTTGTCCAACGTATGTCCGGAGTCCGTACTCCGGACTCGCATGTGGTGGCACACGTTAGAAAGCAAAGTATTCCTGCAACTTTTGTTTGAAGTATTTTCATCAATATAATAAGAAGAAAACAAAATTATTACTCAAAACTATTTTGAACTTTTTTTATATCTAATATTATTTTAATAGTATTTTAACAATTAGATTTTTTTACGCAAAGATTATACAGAAATTACATAACAATTCTATAATTTATAATTATATTTAAAATTTCTTTCTCAAACTCTTACCATTGTACCATTAGCATGAATTTTAACTTGATTGGAATATAAAATAGTTGTTAATAATGCCTAATTAAGCTCAATATAATGTAAAAAGTTCAATATTTATCAAACTATTAAAAAACATAAGTAAATTATTTTAATATTTATATTTTTGTCATATTATCATAGTTTAAAGTGTTAAAGTATTAATTTCAAAACTTTAAAATATTAAGTAAAGTTGACAATGACAACTGACATTTGAACTTTACAAAGAAAAATGAATTTGGCGCATCTGAGACCTAAAATTAGGATGCTTTTTGTTTATTTTTTGCTGTGATATTTGTTATAATGGATATGCTCACGTCTTAACTAAAAATAATGTAACTGATATTGAATGAGTAAATATAGAAACGCAGGTAGAGAAGCTAATATTTTAAGCTTTCCTACGTAAGAGTTCGTCGCTTGCGTATTTACATTCCTTACGAATTATTTGAAATCGACTTATTAGATAATAGGAAGAAAGACAGTTGTACTGTTAGTTAAAGATAAAGTAAAATCTTTTTTACCTCGTAAAAAGCAATAAATAGATTTAAGTATGAAAAATAAACTAAGAAAAAATTATACCGCAATCAAAGCCGGTGATCTTATTTTGACGGAGCAACCTTTTGCATTTATATTGTCTTCGAAAGAAAAGGGCATAAGATGTGATAATTGCCTTCAAAGGTAAGTTATAACATTTTTAATTACACCAATTAATTATTAAATCAAAATTTAATGGCATAATATAATAGAAAAAATGTTTATAAAAACTTTTTTGTCTTGATTTTACATTGGAAAAATGAAAGTATTTCTATTAGCTTTGTATCTATGCAAATATTTAAAAATCATAATTAAAATATATTATTTAAAAAATAATAAAAAAATATTATATTTCTTTGTTACTTTTTAAATTATACTTAAAATTTTATTCTTAAAATTTAAATAAAACTATCTTTTCGGATTATTTCGCGGATTTATTTTGATTTTTGGTTCCCGACGTTTCGAATGCTTTACAGCATCCATGGTCACGGGAGAGACTGATCTGAAAACTGAAATAATCCGAAAATATAGTTTTATTTAAAAATGTCAAACATTTGCTTAAATCTAAGAAAGTATTACTCAAAATTTAAATTATTTCCGTACACTATATCCAAAGGATTAAAAATGTTTATAATTAACAAGTATTGCTAACAAATTAAACCATTGGAATTGTTATAACTATTTTCAGATGTAAGGTACTTAAGTGTTCGGGTTGTCAATTTGTTCATTATTGTGGCAAAGTGTGTCAGAGAGATGCCTGGAGTGATCATAAGGTTAGTATTTAATTTTATTAAATACTACAGTAGTCTAGCATATTATGTTTTTTTAAAAATTTTAATGTTACTTAAACTTAAACAATTTACAAACATTTTCATATTGATGTCATTGAAATATACATTGAAATTGAGCTCTATAGCTGTGCTACTATGCTGTACATGACCACCTTCCCTATTTAAAAACTCCAATAGGATCCCATCAACAGCGACAGAAGCCACATAGCAACCAATATATATTTATTGGTTTCTATGTGGCTTTTGTCGCTTTTGATGGGATTCTATTGGAGTTTGTCAATAGAGCTATACCCACCAAACAGAAAAGACTAATAAATGATGTTAATTGTACTTTATACTTCCTCCCATAAAACTTTGGCAGTGACTGTCTTCTTAAATTCATTGTATTGAGCAACTTCACAGATGGAAGAAAGAGTGAAATTTGGGAATGGACATTTTTGTAGAACATATCATGTAAGCAGAGCCTAGGCCAAAAACTAGTACATTTATACATTTACACTATCTAATTTGTTCAAGCAATTTTAGATAAGGAATTATTGTAACTATATTTGTTACAAACCAGATGTAAACTTTATGGCTCATTGCCATTTTCTTAGCAAAGTGCAACACTGTACAGCGTAGTGTATTATTTTAATGCATCAATGAATGTCAGCCTATTTTTACGTGAGGCAGGAAGGTAATGTTTTTCAATTATATGTATAACTAGAATTGCCCGCGGCTCCGCCCGCGTTCATATGACCAAAACCAAATTCTTAGATTTTATATATTAGTATACTCGTATTAGTATATTAGTTGACCTGGATAACCAGCTACTACCATACCAAATTTCTTCAAAATCCTACCAGTGATTTTTCTGTGATGCGGTCACAGACAGACAGACAGACAAAAATTCTTAAAACTCGGCCTCTATATCGAGAATAATAATTATTTCAATGAGATTTTCAAAAAAATATTTAAAGCACAGATACTGCTTCATTAAATTTTAATGTATCTATAGATGTAACTAATTTATAAAGCCAAAAAGATTGTTTTTTTTTGATAATTTAAACACGGGCGGGGGGCCGCGGGTAATTTAGTAGTAATTCTAATAAAATCATAGAAAGGTCGAAATTGTATATTCAATTTTTTGGAATTAAAACTACGTATTTTAAAGACACATGGCGACATCTATTGACAAATATCTAAATAATACAAAAATAAATATTCATTAAAATAATTTTTTTAATGAATAAAATAGTGCTATTGATATCCTTTTTCAAGATTAGCTATTTTTAATAGTTTTTGACATATTTAGTAAGTTAACTTGCTAAAATCTCTATATATCATCATTGTTTTTTATTCTAACCAGTTTTTGTATTTTTTCTCAGAAATGAGATATTTTTCTGCGGTAAAAATTATCCTATATGTTGACCCGGACAATCAGTATGACTATACCAAATTTCATCAAAAACCGGCCAGTAGTTTTTCTGTGATGCGGTAACAGACAGGCAGACAGACAAAAATTCTAAAAACTATAGATTCGGCTTCTGTATCGATAATAATGTCTATTTCAATAAGATTTTCTAAAAAATATTTAATGTACAGATTTGACTTAGTTAGAATTTTATTATATGTATAGATGTATGTATGTTTATCACACGTGTTGGCACTGCTTTCTTTACATTTTGACATATAAGTGTAGTTACAACTTAAAGGTAAGATTGACATACTTTAAGATTTATAAAGTTATATTTAAAAGTGAAGAAGGTTGGGACCCATTTTATTGTTGTATAGTATATATTATTGTACAATTTGGGTTACACAATTATAAGCAATTATTTTACAAAGGTCAAGGCATCAAAACTAATAATAAAATTTATTTTTTTGCTTTCACACAGTCACATGTTTCAAAGTCTATATTAATACTTAAATGTAACTGATATATTTTACATTTTAAATAAACTACCTATATTGCTGTATTTGATACATGTAAGAATTGATAAATGTCAATTCTTATATGTATCAGATATTTCACTAATGTTTGGCACTTCTTTTACCCTGGCTTTCTAATGGCTGGACAGATTTGAATGTTTAATATGCAGATAATATATGATCTGGTGTAACACATAGGGATGCACACTTGTGTATATATTTCTAACTGCCTTGGTGGTGTAGTGGCTAGCATGTACGGCTGCACAACCGGAGGTCCTGGGTTCGAGTGCCGGGTCGGGCCAAGTTTCGAGTCTTTCTGTATACTAAGTCTAATATTCCAGAGTTGGGAAATTGGCGATGTTTCACTCCCGTGCCTCAGAGAGCACGTAAAGCCCTCGGTCCCGCGCCTTAACTCTGACCGGTCGTGTCTCGTGTCGTGCACTTATGACTACGCCCACACTTGTGCACTAAATATCTCCTGTGCAGTTGGCCAGTCTCAATGAGATTAGCTGCCGTGGCTGAAATCGTTCAGGAGGACGTTATATATTTCTAACCCAAGTTACTTTTAATTTCCAGTGGGAGTGTGCAAATTTAAAAAGGGTTTCACCAAAGATAATTCCCGATGGAGCTCGGATGTTGGCCAAAATTATAAATCGCATACAACGCAGCGATGGCGCTTCTTATAAAGCATTTTATTCCGCAACTTCATTTAGAATGTGGAAAGATTTAATGTCACGTAAGTTTGTTCAAAAATAAATATATTTCTTTTATTTTGATAAATAATAAGGATTTTTTTTAAGTTACATTATTTGTTATAAAATCACTTTATAATTAAATAAAATTACAAATATCTACTAGTATAATTTTTGTTCTTGTGTGTATTTGACAAATTTCTTAAATATGTTAAGCAAATATTATTCAACATCTAATAACAACTTACATAAACATCTATACAGTAAATTAAATATTAATAAAATGTTTTATGTTCTTGCTGACAAAATATATAATAAGTCTTTAGACATGCCACCAAAATAATAAACTATTAGTCTTAACAGCACTTTTCATATTTTGTATGGTATATTATTAATTATTTTACTAAACAGAATCAATTAATTTATTTCTAGATTACTCAGATTTGAAGGCGGATAAAAAGAGAATGGACCATTTTACGTCCCTGTGTGTAGTGCTATTTGAATTTCTCAAAGACCTGTCATTACCAAATACAGTTGAATTGATGGGATTATATGGAAGAGTAAGTTTCATTTTACTACTAATGATATGAAACATTTAGTACGTTTTAAATATGTTGGGACATTAATACACAGCATCATCTAGTTCCATGGTAAGCTACGAGGCTCGTGTTATGGATACCAGATAGTTGATACACTACACATATATGTATACCTTTAAATACATACATATTAGGATGGAGCGTTTTTTTTTTATTTTCAACAATTATTTATTTAAAAAATCAGTGGACCACCTCAAAATGTTGAGTATTTTTTTTTATTTCAAAAATTTAGTTTTTTTATAAGCTACAAATCCTACCTCCAAGCTAAGAAAAAAACATTTTTTTTTTCGCTCCACCCTTAATATATATTATAAATATAAACACCCATAACTGGAGTACAAATGTTTGTGCTCAATGCTCATAACACAAATGAATGCCTCCAGTGGGACTCGAACCAGCTACCGCTGGCACAGCAAGTAGCAACACTCTATAAACTGAGCCACACACTATAAACTGAGCCAAACGTGTCGTCAATAGTATGTACAGTCAAAGTAACTTAAATGCTCAAATCTATCAAAAGGAGTCCAGCCTGATCATGTCAACAAGCCATGGCTTGGTATTTTCAGTAAATATGAATAATATTTTTTCCCTTTCGAATTGATTACAAAACGTCGACTTACTTTATATAAGTATTGTATGTAGTGTACATATAAATCTTCCAGAAGATTTTTTACAAAATTATTATTTTGTGAAAACCTTATGAAAGTTAATTGCGTGTTCTTGAAGAACTAAGCTCACAAACAGCCCCAAAATTTTACTATTTATCTAATACTATTTTTTAAGCAAACTTAGGATAATACTCTCGTAGATTTATGCGAATATTTGACATTTTAAATAAAACTGTCTTTTCGGATTTTTCGGTGCCAATAGCTATATAATGTCCTTTGAGTCGTCTAAAACCTCGTCTCTCCCGTGACCATGATTGCTGTAAAGCATTCGAAATCTCAGGAACCTAAAATCAAAATAAATCGAAAAATTCCGAAAAGATAGTTTTATTTAAAATAAACTTATGATAGCAAAAGTGAGATATGTAAAATAGATTTTCTTCCCTAGATGATAATAAATAGCTTCACAATACTAGACATGGACATGAATTCAATCGGCACAGGTATTTATATAGCGGCTTCCATCATAGACCACAGCTGTGACCCCAACGCCGTCGCCACGTTTGATGGTAAAACAATTAATATAAGAGCAATAAAGGATATGCCGTATTTGGATTGGAAACAGGTGATTTTTTAATGTAGTTTATTTGATACTCGCGACTCATCCTCGTTTCGCTCAGGTTCTTCCCTAGGTTGCCTTCCTATACAAACTTTCATCTCCATTTTCGCTCCCTTAAAGGTTGATTTCCGGGATAAAAACTAACCAAATTTCATCTAAATTGGTTCAGTACTTTTGGAGCCTATTCGGTCCAAACAAATCTTTTATTTTTATAATATTAGTATAAACTATAGATTTTGTGCTTATTTTATCTTTTTTGTATGTCACTGTGTTAATTGATACTCCTCAGTTTGGTATGTGAAGTTTTTATGGCTGTTTACTATATTATGTCTTGCTCATTAAAACCTCTTCGTAGTTGAGTGATGAAGCTAAAGAGTACTATAATTTTTTGTGTTAGTATATTACAATAACATTTGTTATATAATAACAAATTATTAAAAATACCACTGCAGACTTTTTATGAAAAAAAGTCTATATATGTATGTCTAGATATACATGTTCATTACTATACAATCTTTAAAAAAAACATTATAAATTTCTACATAATTTATACCATTCATTTTAGCCAATAGCCATATATTTAAACATTAAAGTCATATCGAATCATGTGGATATCTTCACTATATCAAAATTTCATATTTCAGATAAGAATATCTTACATAGATCTAATGAAGACACCATACGAGAGGCAGATGGAACTGCTCGAGAACTACTATTTCCTGTGCCAGTGTGACAGGTGCATGGGTAAATGCTTTAGATGTGCATACTAATTCATAGATATAACATACATGGAGTTAGTAAATGTTTTGTCACTTCATTTTTTTTTTGGTCTATGGCACTCTGTTACTGCTATTTGACAGCTCAATAAAATATATTCAAGTTTAAGCTGAAATGGATAATGTTTTTGAATACTTAATGCACAGAATATGTAGTAAAAATAATATTTATGAGCAATTATATTGTTTTAAAAATATTTAAAAAGTTTTTATCAGTATAAAAAAAGAGTACTAAAAAGTAAAAAATAACTGAACGGGGGTTTTTATTTATTATAGATACCTAATCAGATATTTTCGATATGGTTCGATGTTGGTGTCGGTATGTGTCAAATTGATAACCTCCTTTTTTTTTTGAAGTCGATTAAAAATAGTATCTATTGGCTAAAATTAGATTATTTTTAAATTAAATTAATGACGAAATTCCTTAAAAGTCCAATTGAAGATTTTGAGTTTGAGTTATTATTTAAAATTGAAAAATAGAATTTAAGGCATTTCTATTTAGTTGCTTACTCTATGTATGTTATTTCTATGTACTAATTATTATAATTAAATGTTAAATGGCGGAATGGTATTTAGCTTTTATCTATTCTTTCTTTAATTAGCACTTCGGTAATTTTCTTCTTTATATATTTTTTAATAGTCTGTCTTCAGTACTGCATTCTGTAATAAATAATTTTAAATTTAGAGGTGACTATTTGCCCGGTCTACAGGTCTACGGGAAGCTTTCCCGTAGCTGATCCGTGGATCGAATTTTCGGATTCGAAAGTTCGAGCTTTCGGATCCACGGGAGAATTTCCTGTACTTCTCAGTATTTTTACATTTACCTAAAAATAACTTCTCAAAAACAAATTATGTGATATTTGTTTTTAATTTGGGGTATTATTTTTGGTGTCAATGTTGTCGGTATTTTGACGACTTCGGTAAATTCTTTTATTTTGAGTTCATTATTTTTGTTTGTTGTCAAAATATGGAGCTTGGCTACAGGGACTGGTTACGGGAAGCTTTCCCGTAGCCAGCGCTGGATTTACACTAGAAGCACTCGGGGCTAGTGCCCAGGGCGGCAAACTTTTACAGGCAGCAAAATTCGAAGGGTGAGAAAAAAAAGATCTCTTCGCGTTATCGAAAACGCTTTCTTTATTTTCCAAAAAAAAAAATAACTAGCACATTTTTCGAAAAATTGAAATCATTTATAAATTATTTTTTTGCATTTTTCAAAAAATGTATAATTAAAAAAAATGAAACTTAATCAAAACTTTACCCATTTTATGCATAATTTCGATAATAGGGCGGCATTTTTTCTATACTCAGGGGCGCGATAAGGTTGAATCCGGGCCTGCCCGTAGCTGACCCGTGATTCACGGGTCAGCTACGGGAAAGCTTCCCGTAAACCCGTAGATTGGGCGAATAGTAGCAGCCTTTAAATTTATGATAGAATAACTATTAGAATGTATGTATGTGTATTAAAGGTTTATTTATTTCATTTATATCTTATTTAAAAACAAATAATATTTCTCATTTTGATTAATTATATAGTATTCTTCGTAAATCAACATTTAAAGTCTTATGCATGTTGGAATTGTTAATTTAGTTTCATATTTTAATAATGAATGCTAAAATAAGAAATCAGTTTATATAGAGGTTAAATATTTTTAAGGGATCTATATTTTCGCGCTGGAACCCTAAATATCTCCGGAAGAAAATATATAAAGTCCTCTATATTTTAGTGAAAATTTCATTGTAAATCGGTTATGCCTCTCAAAGATTACCCCGGACAAGCAGAAATACAGACAAAATTTTTCAAAAGGGTTGTTTAGGTACTGATATTATATAAATAGTTCTATGTACATATTTAAGAAAACATTGTTATTTTTGAAGTCAAAGTCAGACACTTTATTTATAGAATATTTTTATCTATAGGTATTGTACTATTGAAATTTATTTTTTGCAATTATGTTTTTGAGATTGTTCTGAGTTAGACTTAGCTAAAAAGAAAATACTAAGCCAAATTATTTTATTCTAATAGAAAAGCTAGACTCTTGATTATATACTAAAATATAATTATGTCTACAATTAACATGTATATTATTTTAACTATGTTACTTATTTTCAGATGAAAATCATATTAAATATGAGCATGCAGCGAAATGCCTTAACACAAAATGTGATAATCCAATAAACATAATTTGGAAGGAGAATTTATTATTAGTTAAAAATCCAGAACCTAAAGTTGAGAATAAAGTAACAAACGGTGAAGATCATGTTGAAAATGGTGTAAATTGTGAGAAAATAGATGGGGAATTGAATGATTTAGTCCGATGTGATGAATGCGGGACCAAATTCTCTGAGGAACGTATCGAGATGTTTGTGAAAAGTATGGAGTTTAGTGAAGTACATCTGTCTAATATGAAAGAAACTTCTGTGGCTTGTATCCTTTTGATTTCATATTATAATATGTTATGTAGTAGATATATACAGTGTATTTATCTATCTATTCAGCCCTTTTAACGTCCCACTGCTGGGCACAGGTCTCTCTTCAATACGAGGTCGATCAGGCCAAAATCCACCACGCTGGTCAAGTGCGGATTGGCGGATTTCACAATCTTTTGTAAACTTGCTAGATTCAGTCGGACATGCAGGTTTTCTCACGATGTTTTGCTTCACCGTAAGGCAAGTGGTAATCATATTGGAAATGATTCGCACATGAAAATATCGGAAGTGCGAGACCCGAGATTTGTACCCGCTTCACTCGGTTTCCCTAGCGAGCGCGTTACCACTGGGCTACCACTGCCTTTTTTATCTATACAGTCCTCTAATGGCGGCATCTATATAAGGTCGTATATTCGTCGCTTTAGTGCGTTTTGTTCAAACTATTAATACTATACTATACTTTATACTTTGAATATCAGTAATTTACAGTAGACTTTTTTCAAAACTATTGTAAAGTATAGTAAGTGTATTTAAAAAAGAAAGCTTTAATTCTAATATATTATCTTCTTATATACATATCTCATTGATATATAAAACATAGATACGCATTTCCTAACAAACATATCTTCAAAAAGTGGCGTCGACATGTTGCGCAAGTCAAACCAAAGAAGAAAATTCAAAAATCAAAAGATCTAGCTATCTAAACACAAACTCTAACTTACGCACACCACTAGTACTTTGAAACAACGTGCGTTTTAATGTTGTCATCTGAAAATCAATGAACAAAAGAGTTTTGAAATAAGCTTTTTTTTGAGGACACTCGAGTTGTGTACCTTGAATTTTTGTATATGTGTTATTTTATCTATACTCTATACTATACTTACTAATGGAGTGGTAGAGTTTGTTTGTTTGCACGCGCCTAATCTCAGGAACTACTAATCCGATTGGAAAAAGAAAAGACTAATACAGATAAATATAGATAAAGTACATCTTTTCGCCCTTTTTTAAGTTAAATATGTTTTTTATACCAATAGAAATTGACATTGAAAAGTCAATAATTCTGTATTATAAATATAAAATAAACCGTTTCGGTTAATTTGTCATTTGGACAAATAAGCACTGAGACTATATGTTGTATAATATAATCATAAATTCCCGCTACATTTAAAAGCAGATGTAGATATATGTAAGTTCTGCTTAGAAAGGCAAGAAGGGGTTTTACACCCTTTGAATGTGTTGTACGCACAGACGTTAGACAACGCCTTCGACGCACTGATTCAAGTGCAATTGTGGGAAATGGCGTGTGTCTATGCTGAGAAACTGTTACCGTGTTTTAGGTGAGATATTTATATATTATTTACCCGACTGCGGTGAAGACCAATGGAGAGTTATGTGTTTGACCTGTATGTATGTATGTAAGCCTCTCGTTATTACTAAACAGCGCCATCGATTTTAATGATTCATAAATTGTTAGATTCGTTTTGACAATGCGAGGGTCATAGTGTATATACGTACATATACACACTATATTATAAAACTTAAAAGCTGTAAATAAAAAAATAAAGTATAAAAATAAGAAAAACCCGATTGCATAAAAAGGGAACTACAATTATGAGAACTAGTTGGCTAAGGAACATAGTATTATACAGTTGGAGACATAAATATGTAGTGGCATATGTGTCTCCAACTGCATAATGATATGTATCTTCCCTTCGTCAAGTTATTTTTATATTTTTAGTTATGGAGGGTAAAAGTATTTTTAGTTTGCTTTCGCAGTCAGGTGATTTATTTATACAAGTCCTACTGATGACCTAGATTTAATACCATGTTTAATAATAGATGGCGCTGTTCGGAATTTGGTCGCTTTTACGTTACAAGCGAAAATAGATACATATTTTTTATAAATATTCGAGTGTCTATCTCCAATATCCAATTTATCTAGTTAGTGCCCTTGGCTTCGCCCGATATTTTTTACATTCCCTAAAACATAATTTTTCACTATAGTAATTAATGAAAACCTTCTATAATAGTGTAAGAGTTTGTTTTTTGTAAACATAAAATCATAACTAAACTAAACAAAAAAATACATATGTTGAATAATTTTTGAAAACATTAATATTCCAAATTAATAATGTGTTCCGTGGTCTATGAAAATGCCTATTTGTAGGAGCAGTCTTTAGTTTCTGCTTATATTGGTAAAAATATAAGCTAATACCCTATATAGGTAATGAGTGACCTGGGGAAAAATCTAATCACGATTGATATCGTTATTAGATTTTCGTTTATTAGATAAGCAAAAATAATATGAGAATGGTATATTCTCAAAGCGTTTTCAAAGTGTCATTTTATTTCAACATATTTTTTTCATTTCTAAAGATCAATTTTTAATTTTAGATTTTACTATGGAAACTATCATCCATTGGTTGGATTACTTCACATGAAATATGGAAAAATATTGCTGTACAAAATGGATCTCAAAGGAGCGTTGCATCAGTTCAAATGTGCCAAGAAGATTATAAAAATAACCCACGGTGAAAGACATCCACTATACAAGGAACATTTACTGCCAGCTATAGACCAAGCTATCATAGAATCAGCTTAATTGATAAGCAGAAAAAATATGGCCTTATTATCAGACAATCAACACAAAAATGGCTTAACCCACACAAAATGATAATAAAATTATAATAGATTTTTTTGTAGAATTAAATAGTGTTTTCTTAAAGTAATAAGTAAATCAAAATATTGTATTTACGAGTAAAATAGCCGTGCGAAAAAAATAGTTTTTTTTTCTCAGCTTGGGGATTGAATTTGTAGCTTATAAAAAAATTGATAGAAAAAAAATACTCTACAATTGAGGTTGGTTCACTGTTTTTTTTAAATATTTTGTTTAAATCTTTGGTTTGAATGTAAACATTCCTTTCTTCACGTGATTATCTTCGAAAAATTCAAGAATTGAAGAATAGTCATTTTCTACTCAACTTTCACTGTAATACAAAAAAAATAACATTTTATTTTTGTTAAATTGCGATAATGCAATATTACAGTGAAAGTTGGATAGAAAATGACTATATTCATCAATTCTTGAATGTTTTCAAAGATGACCAGTCGAAAAAAAATCCATTCAAACCAAAAATTTAAATTTAGTATTTTAAAAATCAGTGGGCCACCTCAAAATGATGAGTAATTTTTTTTTTATTTCAATCATTTAGTTTTTTTTATAAGCTACGAATTCTACCCCCAAGCTAAGAAAAGAAACAATTATTTTTTTCGCTCCACCCTAAGATGGAATAATAATATAACAATTCTTCCACATTAATTGCCTTATGGTTATGCCAGTTTTGTGTTGAAAGCCTTAATTAAATATTTGCTAAGTCGTTATTCAATGTCACAAGTCTTACGTGAGGATAGTTTTCATTGTATTTTTGTAATTAAGTCTTTAATACACATTCAATAAGTAGGTAATTATTAGGAATATGATGTAAAAAAGTTCTCGCCATAGAGATGACAATTTTGTAAATGCTTGTAGCGTTGATACAAATTGTCAATTATGTTGTCTTCAAGCAATAAGGCTGTGTGCAATAGTGGAATAGTAGAAATAAAGGATATATTCAGTTTGTCACTTTCATTTCTTTCTGTTGTTATGGACTTGTAAGGGACATTACTTTTAAAAATAACAAGTTAAAGGTTAAACGACATTAAATGTCAAAAATATTGTCTGTTGGTATGTTTATAAGTTTATTAGTTAAAAGTTTTATAAAGGAAACAGTCTGAAGGTCTACATTAAGTCTGTCTAGTAATTAGTATTCATTCGTCCATTTTCATCCTCTTAGCGGGTGCCTCGGCCTCCGCTTCAAGGACTTTCATACGAACCCCACATATTTCTGCTCCGTGCAACGTTTTAATGGCCTCATCAGCAGATTCACTGACTGAATACCGAGCATATCCTACCGTTTTGCTGGGCAAAGTGTACACATTGATGAGATTCCCAAAACGACAAAAAATATCTCTCAATACAGTTAACGGAGGAGGTTGAGGCTTGCAAACTAAAAAGCATCTTTTAGCTACCGGGCTATCAATGTCCGCGAGAGGCTGGGGAGAAGGTAAGCTAACACTACAATAACTCAAATCATTGCTATCTGGTATATTGTCATCAGAGACCCCAGCAGTGGCCATTTTGACTAATTTAGAGGCCTCCGCAATAGCTTCAGCCAATTGTGCTAAATCAGTTGAAGAAGAGTTATTTGTTGCTGCAATGGCATTTTTCAGATTACTGACAGCTGTGGATATATTGGGCATGTTTCGTTCTTCGGGATCATTGTTTGAAGTTTGTGGTCTTACAAAAATTTTACAGCCAGGTGGATATTCAAATTCATTAAGTTTTTGCACAGCATAAGCTGCCGAAATAGGGTTAGAGTATTGTGCCACACCTTTACCAAAGTTTCTCATTAAATCGACAAAGTATTGACAATTCACAAACCCTGGTATTATATCAAACAATGATTCTACATGCATTTGTGTAAGAAATGGATTGCATTTAAACATAACTTTGGTATAACCCTTAGGGTTAACATTCATCATAGACATTAGAGAGGTTCCTTGATTTGTAGAAACAGCTAAATGGTTTATATTTGCCTCAAAGGTAGTTTCTATTCTTTTATTAAATCCCTTGGGTTGAGCAAAAATTGCTCTATACTTTCTTTCACAATTCTCAAAAGCCATGGCTGCTTCTGAGAATTTTCGATATGTAATATAGGCAAAGCCTTTACATTCACCAGTATTTCTATCTCTTTGAATTAATATATCTTCAATTTGGCCATATTGTTTAAAATCTTCTTGTAATACTTCTTCATTTACATCTTTAGAAATGTGTAAGAATAATCGTTTATATTTATCAGTGCTATTATCATCAGTTTGAATATCTGATCGGTTTGCTGCTACCTTTATTTTAAGAGGTCGATTGGCGTTAGGAATCATTTTTGCGTTCATAGCTTCCAAAGCAATGGCAGCCTCTGATGTTTTGGAAAACTTTATGAATGCAACTCTCTTAAGTTCTCCTGTATTATGATTACGAGGTATACGTATGTCTTCTATGTGGCCAAATTCTGAAAATATTTCTCTCAATTGATCTTCTTTAACAGGGCGGTCACGAAGAACAAATAATCTTGAATATATAGGGCAGTCATCGCGGTCATTATCATCCGAACGTGGAAATTTGCGACGATATTCCATTTTGCTAAAAGTGATGTGTAAATAAAAAGAAAATACTTAAATGAACAAAATTGTAAAAAATGTTCCAAGTCACAAAAGTATAATTTGTTGGAAGTCGGTAAAAGGTTACTGAATTTGTTAGTATTAATATAATAAAATACCACTAAGGTATTTAAATCCAGAATTAGTAAGAGAAATAGTTTCTCATCTATTTATTTCCACAACAGAATAGACGTCACAACTCGCACTATTTTTAGTCTATTAAAATGAAGTTACAAAATGGCCGATGACGCCGTGACGACTGAAGTGTGATGGGCCACGGCCATAGAGTTATATTGCAACATATATGACCGTTCTGAAAATCCAACAGATAACATTTTAGAACAAAGAGATGCCAGTAGAAAAAAAATGTTATCAACCAATATATTATTGACTATTGTTATGAAAAAGAGAGTTATCAACTGTAGATAAAGAAAACTATCTCTGTCTATGTTATCAAAAGATTGCATTTAGCAAAAATAATCAACATTACAAATTTCCATTATTTTTTTTTGTTTATTTTTTCGTCAATTTTACTAAGATTATAAAAAAAATTAAGGATCTCTTTTTTATTTTTTTAAAATTAACTATATGTAGAACAAAATATAATAATGCCTGCATTTTTATTGATTTCAAATTACTTAAATTAAAAATCACTTTTTTGTAATCTAACAGATGACAAAAAATTTAGTCGAGATTTTTGCGCGAAACCGTTTATTTGAAAAATATTTAATATAGTTTCGTATGGCAACACAATATTTGTATATGCCAAAAGTAAAAAGTGGTTGATATTTTACGTAAAATTAACTTAATCCAAGTTTTAATTTGTGTAAATTGATTAGTTCATTAAAAATATACATTGATAAAGTTATTGTGGAACATTAGAGTTTTGTGCAAACTGTAATGGTACCTTGTAATGGATGATGTTAAAATGAGCGCTATGGGATATGTCAGATGGAGATGCATTCAAATGATTGTTAGCAGTCGAGGGGAACAGTAGTCTTCTTGCTGCATATCGGATTATTTATAAACATTGAGTTTACCGGTGCGGTACGCCGTGTATAAGTTTTAGCATGATCGGATAACGGACTACCCTGTTAAAAAAATCTAGTCGAATCTTCCATTAAAGTACCCTCGCATATTCATCAAAATAAAGAACTGTTTCCATTTATCTCAGTGTAAAAGACTTTGAAAATGTTTAATGAATCCTATGAGCGGAGGCTGCTTCAGCAATGCACTCCCATACGAAAACAATCGGTTCTGGTCCGGCCAGAGCCTATGGATAGATTTATTCCATGCAGACTTGAAAACAATTGGAAGACCAGCTTTCGAGGTAATAGAATTATTATTATACCTTTATTTTTCTCATTTATTTATCTTGTATGCTATAATATTAAAATTTTTAAATCTTAAGTATGCTGGGTTCATTTGGTGTAATTTATTTTCAACAATTAGCTTTTTACAAATTTAATAGAAGGAAAAAATTATTTTATTACTTTGTGGCAGAGAACTATTTTATTACTTACATTTTTAATTAAATTTATTTAAATTTATGTTCATTTTTTTTAAAGTATATAAATGGGATTCTTATTCACTTACCTTACAATTTGTGTAGCCATTGGGAATAATAAATAATTATGTGTGAATACACATTCACACTTTTATTAGTGATATCATAAAGATAAATTTTTATTATGTTGATTTTAGGTTTTTGATATTTAATATATTGTTGAGTTGGCTTTGTAGAGCTTGAATTGATTTATTTTGCTTACCATATTTCTAAATGTATTTTTATAAAGAGCCATTAGCTCCATCTGTACTTGGTCCTTCTACAATAATACTACTATACTACTTACTATACATTTAAAGTTATTTTTAAATAAATATATCTAGCCTTTAGGACAGCATGACAGGGCTTTAATATGTGGAAAAAATCACTGTCCCAATTTTATGTATTCTTTAATAAAACCATGATGATTCTGCCATCCATATAACCTAATTATTGAGATCTGATTAATTTAGAGGTCACAACATGTACCCTCTTGTTATTAATTTGACCTTTTGGTTAAAGATTATTCTTAATTATTCTTTTATCATATGTATTTACATGATTGCAGCATTCGTGCATTGGTTTTAATTTTTACCTGTTCACATTATAAATATAAATCAATTATTTATAAGCTCAGCTTTTTTATATTGTAGATACATTTCAGTCTTATCAAATTTATTTACTTATGAGTTATGTTTATGGAGTTGTGTAAAAATTTGTCAAAAAATATAATATACAAAATTATATTTTTTGTCATCAAGATAAGATTAACGATAATAAAAAAAATAAGACAAAGGCATAAATAAGTATATTATAAGAGTATAATACTCTTACATAATACATTATATATATTCCTTTCATCATTTAATTTTTTGATCATTTAAAAACACATAACTTAAGCAATATCAAGTCGGTAAACTTAGTAGGTACCTACAAAAATAAACAGTATGGAAAAAAAAGTAAGTATGGTCAAATATGCTTCTTGATTTACTGTAACTAATTCAACATCAGTAAGCTATTACTTAATAACACTATAATCTATGTTACTTATAGTCATACAATATAATGACAATGATTTGGCTGAAATCGTGATGCTAATAATAATGGCCTCCGAAGCAAGATATCTTCATTATATTTTGCCACTATTATTGCAAATGGATTCTGTTCTACATGTTCCTGTTTTTTCTAGTGTAACATTAGTTATAAAACACAAAAACAATATTGATACTATTAGTGTCACCAGTTTTATCTTATATATATTTTTTTTATTAAGGTACAAAGGTATATATGTAATGTGTTTTCGATAGATTTTAATAAAAAGTTTTACCATTTAATGTTGTATTGTACCTATACTGCACCAAATTAACTTATTTTCTCACTTTTAAAAGGGGTTTCTGAAGAAATCTGTTAAAGAGATAAGTTATTCTTTGTGGAAATTCTGTCACTTTTTTTTGTTTACCATATATATTATGGTACATAAATAATATTAAAAAAAAATATATATTTATAACTAGCAGAACCCCACGGCTTCGCTAGCGCTAAAATTATTAAAAAATCTTTAAAAAGGTACTTTCATACAAACTTTGAACCCTTATTTTACCCCCTTACAGGATGAATTTCTAAAAATGCTAAAACACGTATTTATTTAATTTTATTTAAGAGCATTAATACCAAGTTTCAAGTGATTCTGATCATAAATAATTTTTGGGTTGTATTATAACGAGTTCTTCTGTGGGAATGAGATTATCTCCCGCGGTAAAAAGTAGCCTATGTCACTCTCTAGCCCTCCGACTATCTCAACACAAAAAATCACATCAAACCGTCACTCCGTTTCGACGTGAAAGAAGGACAAACAATCAAACACACTTTCACATTTATAATATTAGTATGGATTTTCATTTAATATTCATTATTATTTATTACTATAAATTTTATAGCTCAATATTATGAATTTTAACCAACTTTAAAAGAAATGCACATATTTGTTAAATATTTTCGACTAACAATCATACTTTGAACTTATAAAGTAAAAAATAGTTTATACAACTATGATAGATACTCAAGGTTGTTGGTTATTTTATCTTCATTTGTTCTAGTACGGATGATAAGATGGTCATATGTAATCTCATAGTAAATGTACTTAATAATAATAGTACTCGATTTTTATTTTATAATGTGTGTCAAAAAATATGTTATATAATAACGAGCGACTCACACTTGCTCCGCTCGGGTTCGTCCTTAGGTACGTTTTAACGGTTAGTATAGATTTCTTGGAGATGAGATATTTTCCCGCAGTAAAAAGTATCCTATATGTTGACCCGGATATCCAGCTATCATTATAACAAATTTCATCAAACTGTCCAGTGGTTTTCTCGTGATGCGATCCTAGATAGTCAAAGTTTTTAAAAATTACATATAAATTCGGCCTCTGTATCGATAATAATGACGATTTCAATAAGATTTTCCAAAAAATATTTAATGTACGGATTGACTCAGTTAGAATTTTAGTATATGTATACATTAGCATTGTCCGCGTCTCCGCCCGCGTTCAGATGACCAAAAGCCAAATTCTTCGGTTTTACATATTAGTTTACTAATCAGTTTTTGTATTTTTTTCTCAGAAAAGAGATATTTTCCCGTGGTAAAAAGTACCTTATATGTTGACCCGGATAACCAGCTATCACCATACCAAATTTCATTAAAATCCCTCTAGTGGTTTTTCTGTGATGAGGTAACAGACAGACAAAAATTGTAAAAACTATAGATTCGGCCTCTCTATCGATAATAATGACTATTTCAGTAAGATTTTCCAAAAAATATTTAATGTACAGATCGACTCAGAATTTTATTATATGTATACATTAGCCATTTAAAGCACATTTAGTTTAGATTTAACCAATATGTCAATTCTAATTATTCTACTTTAGAAGTCTTTAACTGATAATTAACTTCGTGCCCATTTAATAATTATTAAATGAATTTGGTGATTTACTTTTGTACTAATATTTAAGTACCCTCATTACTGAACTCATTTATTTTCAAGGTTAATGACCTTAGACTATTTAATTTATGTATATGTAGCAAAATTAGATATGCGACTTAAATCAGAGTTTCCATAAAACAATGGCTATTTGCTATTCATTAAACCAAAACTCTGTCACACTTGGCTACCCCTAGAGCTCCAGTGGAACGATTATATACGAGAGTGTATTTTAAATTATGTAAAGGAAAATCGCCGTTAATGTGTGTACATAATGATTATATTACTTATATGTATTTATACATACTCGTGTTATTGTCTTTACTGTAATAGGCACGTGTATGTAGAGATGGGCATTCAAGTTCACTTACTAATGATTTCCGATGTGGTAACAGAAGGCGTAATGAGTTTATTTTATGTTGCATTTTCTCCTTTCTATCACGAATGTACATGAGTTTTGTTTAATTTGAACCGTTATGTTACGGTTACATAAGTGTATTATCATGCTCACTATAATTATAAAATTTAAGTATTGTTTATAATACTTATGGAAGTATCGCCCGTCTTCATAATTTTGGTCGAGGAATTTTAATTTTTGAATCGGTTCAATATTTTTAGAGAAATATCTCCTAAATGTAAACGGACTGATTTTATTTCTTTAGTTAAAGCATTATGTTTGTTAGAATATAAACTAACACAGCGAGTATCTAGATTATTATTTAATTACTTCATTAATGTATTCGGACTGTATTACTTACTTGCTCCGCTCGGGTTCGTCCCTACTTACGTTTTAACTTTAGTATAGTTTTCAGAGATGAGATATTTTCCAGTAAAAAGTATCCTATATGTTGACCCGGATAACCAGCTATCACCATACCAAATTTCATCAAAATCCCTTAGTGGTTTTTCTGTGATGTGGTAACAGACAGATAGACAAAACTTCTAAAAACTATAGATTCGGCCTCTGTATCGATAATAATGATTATTTCAATAAGATTTTCCAAAAAATATTTAATGTGCAGATTCGGCTTAATTACAATTTTATTATATGTAGGTATTTTATTATATCATCTATGACAAGAGACATTCAAAGAATTTAAAATGTCCACGATTTTAATGCAATTCAACTACATATTAAATGACTTACACCGTATCGTGTTATATTATAAAATAATAAAATGAATACAACCATAGGTTACTTATAAATAATGTATGCCTTCCGATTGTAAAAACAAATCTTTGATAGTTTTTATACTGTAAACTTTCTGTGCAATATGGGATTTAGCATATTGGTCTGCGAAGCGTAGCGTTCACTTACATCGTCTCCGGTCAAGGGAATTATTATAGGAAAATATTTTTAATTCATGTCCACTCGACCATAGCTTTATGCAATAAATCGCTTGAATATTCTTTAGATGTCATTATTTCCTCTTAAAGTTTTAAATTTTTAACTTAGCCTTGCATTAGATTCGGCGTTGCGCAAACCGTGCTCCGTTATCTTTTTTTCTCTAACTTTTACTTTACTGAATGCTTCAGTGCTCTTTGTGAGAATAGTATTCTGTATTGTATTATCTACAAAAGATGTATTTATCATACTAAAATATTAAAAAATATTCCAAATAACATAGAATCGACGTATTACAATTGCTAAAATATACATTTAAGGATAGGTAAGTCGGGCTAATGCTCCTTTTGCGTGCTCACATCGTCTCTCGCTTCCTCGCAACAAAATAGAGAATAAAGTACGAAATCTGGTCTATCGTGAAACCATGTATAAGTACAAAATCCGTGGACCGTAGAACGT